GTTGCCCCGGTGGACCCACCTCGAGGTATTTTAATACTTTCTCATAATCGTTGGTGATAAATAATAATCAATTTTGGGCCTTCATGCTGTAACTTACTTGTGTCTGTGCTAGTGCAAGGAATGCTTGAGTAGCTCTTGTGGAGATCACCCTCCCTTTCTTAAGGGTGGGACTGCATAATAAACGTAACTGTAGATGAATGTGCAGAACTAAATGTTATCAGTTACCTTAATATCTTTTTGTATTTGCAGCCGTAGCTTTCATGCATTTAATTATTGGCTTTTATGTGGATAATGAAATGCTTAATCAGTTTACTGTGATGATTGCATCTTGATATGTTTGCTACAGGAAGGTCCCTTGTAGTTGCATTTATGGGAAATTTGGGATATAAACCTGAATTTTGTTTTTGTAATTGGTATTAAAGATAATTAATCATAGACCTTGAATGTCAAAGGTCTTGGTGTTATCCCAAGTAGTCTTTCACATCATGATTTATGCCAGAGTATTACCCTTTCAGTGTTCTAAAATTAGACCTAACAGATAACAGATTTGGGTTTTTTGGTGTATGTTTTTGTTTCTTATGCCTTTCCAGTGAATTTGGGTTGACTCATAACATTGTGCAAGTGTGGAGACAATGTCTAGAATTACTATTTGCATCTTCAAGTACCCTGAAGTGTCCTTAACTCCTGCCCAATTCTTCTGTTTTAATTTGCATAAAGCAAAATTAGATGTTTTTCCATCTGTATTTTAAGTTGAATTCACTTAACATGATTTTCTAATGGGATTATTTCCTTAACCAGCTCCCTTGAGTGGTCCATTGGTGATTGCTGAAGTTCTGGGTGGGCGGAAGAATGCCACGAAACCCATGAAAGTCAAGGATCATTCAAAGAAAGACAAATACGTTTTCAAACGGAGAGATGAACCCAGTAACTTGAAAACCCATCTAACTAGCCAGGGCCAAGCTAGTTCCTCGGCCCCATCTGCTGGCTTGGAGGGATCAATACCATTAGTAGATGGGGATTATACGGTACAGAAGAGGGCTCCAGCTGTCTCTACAAAGACTCGGGTTACAGCAAAACATGAACAGACTGATTTTATAAGCAGCAGTTCTACAGTTTCAAGTACGGATGTATATGGGAAAGAAGCTGTAATCATAGATCAGGCGACAGCAAACAGCTCTCTCACCACCCAAGATGTTACTAATGATGCAAAGCCATCTCTTGACAAGGAAAGAGGGGCTCTGCAGGAAGTAAAAGAGGGAGGTACAAGCACAGAATGTCTTGATTTATTTGGGGAAGAGACCAAGCAACGTACAAAAGATGGTACATCACAACCTTTAAAGCAGGAAGGTGAGGGTTTGGTTGAGTTTAAATGTGAAGAGAGTGCAAAATTGTCTGGATCACATGAAAATTTTCAACAACCTTCAAGTTCTTTGAAGAAAGTGGAAGGAGGTTATGAATTGAATCAAGTTCGCGATGGTCGTGGTGTTGGAGATCCTTCCTCAGTTGAGGCAAAGAGTTCAGGTGGGATGAAGGCTATCGGTGGAGTGAAAAAAGCAAAGGTTCTTAAACGGCGTGCAGAGGACTTGCGCACTGAGGACTCTATGATGGGGGATAACAGGAAAAAGAAAAAGAAGAAACATTTAGGTTCTGAAGCAAGCTTCAGAAACCCACAGAAGCCTTTGACTTCTGGAAAGGTACATTCCTCGGGAAGTAAAGTTGCAGGAAATTCCAAGGATGTAGGTTTGGCTCCAAGAGATGACGTCCATGTAGAACATCATAAGAAAGATGTTGTTGCCAGTAATAACTCGTCTGAAGCTGTTGGAAAATTTCCAATTGTTGGCTTGGGAGATGTGGAGCTTGAACTACCACAACTGGTAAGTGATTTGCAAGCCCTTGCCCTTGATCCTTTTCATGGTTTTGAAACAAACAGCCCTGCAATTGTTCGGCAGTTCTTTCTGCACTTCCGGTCCCTTGTCTACCAGAAAAGCTTGGTTCTGTCACCACCCTCCGAGACTGAACCTGTTGAAGTTCGCTCCTCTAAATCTCCATCTGGTGTCAAAGCCTCTGACATATCGCCTACTGAGCATGTCAGAGATTTGCCATTCTCAAAGGCAGCAAAACCCATGTTCAGATCCGACGACCCTACCATAGCTGGGCGGAAGCGTGCCCCATCTGACCGTCAAGGAGATATCGCAGCTAAGAGGTCCAAGAAAATTAGTGATCTGAAAACGTTGGCTGCAGAGAAGAAGGCCAGTCAGAGAGCTTTAGAATCCAAGCGTGTGGAGGCCAAAGAATCAGCGGTACCGCTTCTGCGAAGGTCAATCAAGCCAGGTTTTGCGAAGAAAACAGAGCCTGCATCAAAGGCAGTTGAGCCCACAATGCTGGTGATGAAGTTCCCTCCCAAAATATCTCTCCCATCACCTGCAGAACTGAAGGCAAAGTTTGCACGATTTGGGCCTATGGATCAGTCCGGTCTCCGTGTCTTTTGGAAGTCCGCAACATGCCGGGTTGTCTTTCTGCACAAATCTGATGCACAAGCAGCATTGAAGTTTGCTACCGCAAACAGCTCACTTTTTGGCAACTTTAGTGTGAGGTGCCAAATTCGAGAAGTGGGTGGTCCTGAAGTTCCAGATACCGGCAAGGGCGACAATCCCTGTGAGATCCCGCGGGTTAAGGACTCATCAGCGGGGCAGTCACCGGCAATGGCATCGGCACTCAGACAGCAGCAGCAGGCTCTTCTTCCACAGAGTGCAGTCCAGCTGAAGTCGATTCTGAAGAAGTCGTCGGGCGAGGAGCCGGGAGGGCAGGTAACTACCGGTGGCAATGGAAATAGTAAAGGAACTGCACGTGTAAAATTCATGTTAGGTGGGGAAGAAAGTAGTAGAAGTACTGATCAATTCATGATGGCTGGTAATAGAAATAACTTCAACAACAACAACAGTGCTAGTTTTGCTGATGGTGGTGCTGCTGCACATTCTTCGTCTACTACTTCTATTGCTATGGATTTTAATACTAGGAACTTTCAAAAGGTCAATGCTCCTCCAACTTTTTCATCATCGCCTCCTATACTTCCTCTTCCCCTTGCTCCTCCTCAATATGCAAAGCCCCCGCATAATAAATTTCCACCTCACCATTCTGAAATGGCACCACCCAGAAATAGTCAACATCTAAACACACCCGCTGCATTTCCAAGTGCACCCAGCGTCGATATTTCACACCAGATGCTAAGCCTGTTGACTAGGTGCAACGATGTCGTAGCCAACGTCAAGGGCTTGCTTGGCTATGTGCCGTACCATCCTCTTTGATGGTGAAACATGGGCAAAATTATATGCCATAAAGCAAGCCAAGCCAAGGCAAAGACGGACAAGACAAGTACATGGAATCCACCACATGAATTGAAATGCGGCATTTTGGGCTTACAAGAGAGAGAGAGAGAGAGAGCTTCTCAAATGTAGTAGTTTGTTTACAAGTTGGGTACTCCGATTGTACTGAGATGATGATATTGATGATAGTGCCATCTTTTTCTTTTTCTCTTTTTGGGTTGAACTTTTGTTCTTTGGGCCAGTTTCCATAATCTCTTTATTTCCATGACGTAAAATAGGAGTGAATTTGTTAGGAATTGGCATAAAAACTTTATAAAAGAAAAAAGAAAAGTTTACATGCGAAAGATGATTGAGACAATGTTAGCCGTTATGCCTTCATTACAATACCTAAACTTTTCTAGCATCCGCCAGAACCTTCTTAATTCCATTCCTTTGTTATTCAAATTCCAAATCCTTACATCGTCCAAGTTGCAAAGTTCGAAAAAGTGTAGGAGAATGAGCATTTTCAACCACCCGAGCGGTGGAATTGGAACTTATCCTAATTACGATTTTTTTATTTTTATTTTGGGTGGATGGTTCGCATCAAACTATTCCTTCTCCCGTAAGCATAAAGATAAAAGCAAAGCGGCTGCCTTTTCTTCACACGTACCATTTACGTGTTTTCAGCCCTTCAATATCCAATGTGGGGACCTGTAAAATAGACCCTTTTGTTTAATCCCTACCATCCAATAAATCCAACGGGTTAGATTTGAAGCTCCTAATTTAACTGTTGTTCTACTTGTATCCTAACCAAAACTAGAAGCAGCCATGGTTATGCATTTGTGTTGAATGAATGCATCGCCTAATTAGAAGAAGCCTTCTTTAATTAGGGAGTTGGTGGTGATGATTAAAACTAACTTACCAAATCAACCAGAGGCTTAGAGACGGCGCTGGTGGAGTGCAATGGAGGAAGAATTTAAGTCGGTAAAAACAAACAGATAAACAGAAACAAGGAAACTAATTTGTCCAACATAATAAGGAAAGGATTTTGAAGGATATTGGGATTCAAATCGTCTCTCACAGACAGCTTTAAATATTTACAGCAAACCATTACCATCTACCTCTTCGTATTCATATAATAATAAAAGAATCCAAGAGGAAGAGAAGAGGGAGAGACAGAGACAAAGATAAAGATTAAATATGGGGATTTGCTGGGGTGCTCTAACTGATAACTCAATACCAACAAGGCCATCTGGATACAGGTATTTCATTATTATTCAATTTTGTTTACTCTCTTCTCTTTTTTTGTTTATTGTTCTTGTTGCTCATTAGGTTCCAATTAGCATCTAAAGTTTCACCTGAATAAAATTAGTATATAAAGTTTAAGAATTTACTATAGATCGTAAAGTTAGATCAGTTTGTTAAGATAATGAGTCCGCCAATGTCGATACCCCTTCCTTATGCAGCTATGCTTGTGTAAAAAGGAAAAATAAGAATTTTATTTTGATTGATACATTTAAAGTCAAATTAATATCAATATCAATATGACGTCAGGGGGGGCTGGCCTTCAGTCACTTTGTTTGTGCCCCATTCCCCCATTTAACATCTTAATCAGTAAATTGACTTCCTTCCTCTTAATCAATCTTTTGAAGACTAAACCTAATTAATGACATGGACAATTTTCCCGTGAATCTTAGCCAAATGGCAAGCCACAACAAAACAATACATATACAATTGGGATTTCCTGTTTTTAATTATGCATCACGCTCCCATATAAAATAAAAAAAATAAAAAATTCACATGTCACGCGCATCCGCGTAAATTTATAAACCAAAATAATAAATAAACAATACGCGTAATGAAAGATTCTTTCTAGGAACAATTTCACAATATTTGCTACGTAATTTATTTTATAGGAAAAAAAAAGCTGAAAAAAATTGTAACCACTTATCCAAAACTAAAATGAAATAAATAAAAAATTATAAATCAGAGAAGCTTCTTGGAACCTGGCCTTGCTTTTGCTCCTCTATATATTGTTTTGCTCTCCGTGCCAACTCCCAATTCACAGTTCTCAAGTTCGCAAATCAAAAGAAATATCGAACACTTTCTCTGATTTCAAGTTTCAAGTTTCCAACTCAAGAATTCAATCGTCATGGAGTGCAGGCCTTTGGAGATAACAATCGTCTCAGCCAGCGACCTCAAGGACGTCAATATGTTCTCCAAGATGGACGTATACGCCGCCGTTTCGGTCTCCGGCGACCCCCGCAACAAGAAGCAGGAGACCAAGACCCCCGTCGCCAAAGACGGCGGCACAAACCCTAAGTGGAACAACTACTCCATCAAGTTCACTCTCGACGACGCCGCTTTGCTCCACAACCGCCTCACCCTCAACATCAAGCTCGTCTCCGAGCGCAGCTTGGGCGACACCAAGATCGGCAAAGTCCAAATCCCCCTCAAGGAGCTCTTCGACAGCTTGGGCGGCGGCGATGATCAGAAGAACCAGATCAAGCACGTCGGTTACAGCGTTCGAACTTCCAATGGGAAGCCCAAAGGATCCATCAATTTCGGGTACAAATTTGGGGACAAGTTCACAGTTCCTGTTCCTGAGGCCCATAAGAAATCCCATGAGCCCGTGATGGCTTACCCATCTGGGCATCCCGGGTCAAGCTCCGGGTACCCACCTGCGGCCCATGCGGGTCCGTATCCGCCTGCCCAAGCTTACCCGTACCCGCCGCCTGGTGGGTACCCACCACCGCCTCACCAGCAGCCGGGTTATGGGTACGCACCACCTCCGCAGGCCGGGTACGGTTACCCACCTCAGTCAGGATATGGGTACCCGCCGCAGAAGCCTAAGAGGGGAGGAGGTAACATGGCGCTTGGCATGGGAGCTGGACTGTTGGGTGGTTTGCTGATTGGAGATATGATTGGAGATGTTGGTGAGATGGCTGCCTATGATGCTGGGTATGATGCTGGGTTCGGTGGTGATGACTTTGGCGGTGGCTTTGATTTCTAGTAATTTTTGGTCTTTGGGGTCTCTTTTATTTTTATGTAGTTTTAGTTTTATGATGAGTACATACAGATGTTTAACGGAGGTTTCAGGGTTATGTCTTCTTGCCTTCTTGTCTGTATACATGTTTGGACTCTTTTAGATTAGAGTTCATATGCTTTGCACATTTCTTTCTTCGCTGTTATGGTCACACATATAAAGTCTCAAACAGTGATGAAGAGCACTAAAAGCTTGTGAAAGTAGCGAAAACTAGCAGGCTCCTCCAGGAGAGACGAGGCATTAGATGATGATAAAATTCCCCAAAAGTTGTGTCAAACTTACACCATAGCATCCGATTGTTTTTCCACTCGACATCCTAAAGTTTCCACCAACGAAAAGTCAAGGACTGCTAGTGTCATACTGTGTGGCTCATAATAATATTCCAAATCGCGCATTATCAACCAGGAAGTTTGAGCAGAAATTACGTCATAAGCTCATTCAATCTTTGTCAGCAGAACAAATAGTAAGAGTAACTACATTCATTTGCCATTAGCCATGGCAAGGGGAAGCTAGGACAGTCATTATTTACGTAAATAGTGGTTGTCCTTGCAAATAGTATTTTTTGTTTCCATCCATTGCCGTGGCGAAGGGCAATTACTATTCATTTTTTTGTTTTTTTCACACATTTTTTTACCTCAATAATTAATTTGGATAATATTTTCGGATAAGATTTCCGGGTTCCTACGTGTCAAGACTATTCATAATTGGATAAAATTTCCGGATAAGATTTTTGGATTCAAATTTCGGATGAATTTCAAAATTCAAAATTCAGATAAATTTTTGGGTTCATATTTCGGATGAATTTCAAATAAATTTGGTCAGATAAGATTTTCATCCAATCAAATTAAGCCACGTGGCATGTCTATCTTGCCAAAATTTTCTATAAAACCAGAGGCTCAACTCATACCTCTCACACCACATCTTTCTATATTTTCATTTCTCATAGTTTAGAATTCATACTCCATTCATCTCAATGGAAGATTTTAGGAGATGCTTGGAGAGGCAAGAGCGAGAAACAAATGAGAGAAACCGTAGAGCATATGAAATCAATGAGTTGCAGAGACAAGTCGATGAACAAGTTGTCATAGCAGTGGCTTTACAAGATGAAGAGAACCAAGGTCGCCGCTGTTGTTCACAAGTCTGCCGCCGTCAGAATGTGGACAGACATAGGCATTCTGGGGGTAAGAATCTTTTGGAAGATTATTTTATCCTAACTTCTTTGTACTATGATGTTGATTTTCGAAGGCGATTTAGATTGCAACCTCATTTGTTCAATAAAGTCATGCATGATATTTGCAATTATGATGCATACTTTGTTCAAAAGTGTGATGCTGCTGGGATTTTGGGGCTTTTTCCAGAGCAAAAGCTTACGGTTGTTATACGAATGTTGGCGTATGGAGCATCTGCTGATCAGGTGGATGAGATTGCCCGGATGGGGAAGTCCACTACGTTTGAGGCTTTGGTAAGATTTTGTGATGCAATTGAAACTTTGTACACTATGGACTACCTGAGTAGACCTACTCCCAGGGACCTCCAACGACTTCAACAAAAAACCGGAGCTCGAGAATTTCCAGAAATGATTGGTAGCATCGACTGCATGCACTGGCAATAGAAGAATTGCCCAACAGCCTTGCAAGGTGATTACGGAAATAGAAAAGGCCAAAAAAGTATCATCCTGGAAGCCGTTGCTGGCTTCGACACATGGGTTTGGCATGCCTTCTTTGGAGTTGCCGGATCCCAAAATGACCTCAACGTGCTGAGTCAATCCCCGGTCTTCAACGATGTATTGAGAGGCCAAGGCCCCAATATCACTTATCAAGTCAACAATACAGTCTACTAGACGAGGTATTATCTAGCTGACGGCATCTACCCGAGGTGGACCACTTTTGTCAAATCCATTCCGAATTCCCGATCCTAAAAGCAAAAATTATTTGCTACCTATCAAGAAGGATACAGGAAAGAAGTCGAAAAGTATTTTGACATCCTTCAAGCTCGGTGGTTGATTATTCGATGTGCGTCCCGTATGTTTGATGAGGAGATCCTCAGAAGCATTATAATAACTTGCATCATCCTCCATAATATGATTATGGAGGATGAGTACGATTATGATGCTTTAGAGGTCTACGAACCGGATCCAATGAACACAGCCTTGACATGGATTTATGAAAGGCCTATGGGGTCAAGTGGAGAACCGTTTGAGCCGGAATCGTTGGTGAGGGATGGTCGTTTCATGACCCAGATGATAGATCGATATACAGAGAAACAATCTTCGTATATTCATGACAGACGTCAAGTTGACTTGATGGAGCATCTATGGGTGGTGAAAGGCAATGAAGATGAATGATGGAGTATAGATGCTTTGGCTATGTTTTATTTAGTTTATGGTTTGGTTGTGTTGTTTTTTATTTATTATGGTTTGGTTGTGATTTTTTATTATTATTGTGCCTTGTTTGTAGTTTTTATTTTTATTTGAATTATGTTTTGTTTGATGTATGGAATATGTTGAATAAAAATGTATTTTATTGAATGCTTTGTTTATTAAATAAAGAAATCTAATACAAGTCATTAAGAATCAAGGATTAAAATATCGGCCGTGCAGATAATATCGGGCCTCCAATTTACAGATATTTCGAGGGATATATCGCTATCGTTTTGGGTATCGGGAAAAAATCAACAAAAATGACAGATATAGGCATTGAAACACATAATTTTGGTGTAAAAATTTCATAGATGTTATGTACATTGTCAATGAATGTATTGAACAAATAAAACTCAAAATTTACTAATAATAAGATATATATATATA